CTGCCTCCTGGTGTTATTTCTACAACAATATTATTTGCTATATTCCTCCATTTAGTGCCTTAAGTTGAAATCCCCCAGGAGCAAGATGTTGGGTGCAGGAGCTGGAAGATTTTCCAGACAGTGGTCAATTTTTAACAGCTGTTCCTGGAATTGCTGGGATGTTGCATCCGGAGGCTTGTAGACTCCCACAATGACTAGGTTTTGGTTCTCGACCTTTACTGCTAAAACTTCCACTACGTCATTTGAGGCATAAGCAGTTCTGTGCAAACAAGTGACTCTGCAATGTACAGGCCAAACCCCCCCCCCTTTTGCCTGTTCACTCTGTCACATCGTATAGGTTGTAACCGGGGATCCATATTTCATTGTCCAAGTGATCCTTTATGTGGGTCTCAGTGAAAGCCGCGAACATTGCCTTTGCCTCTGCAAGCAGTCCACGGATGAAAGGTATTTTGTTGGTTGTTGCTGGCTTTAGACCCTGTATATTTGCAAAGAAGAATGTTATCGGACTGGTGGTATTGTTGGTACTGGGGGGGGATTTTTTTTCTGGCATTAGTATCTGTATCTGTTGGTTTGGAGTGGAGGCCATCGACTGTGGTTCCACTCCAGGAATGACTGGATTTGGTGTACGATTTCTGCCATTTCCTGCCAGTTTTTTTTCCTTCCTGGCACTAAAAAACTGGTGCTATTTGTAATTTGTATTTTTATATTATTAGAACTAAACCTAGTTATACTATAGCTCTTTCTAGCTCAATACATAGTCAATACCAAATTCACTATATTAGACCATAGTGCAATTACTAGTGAGAGACGGGTGCTATTTTTAATTTGTATTTTTATATTATTAGATTAAATTCAGTTGTACCATAGCTCATTCTAACTCAATACATAGTCAATACCAAATTCACTATATTAGACCATAGTGCATTTACTAGTGAGAGACTAGTGCTATTTTTAATTTGTATTTTTATATTATTAGATTAAACCTATTGTACTATAGCTCATTCTAGCTCAAAACATAGACTCCACAAAAGTCATTATTAGACCTTAGTGCAATTACAAGTGAGAGTCTTGTTCTATTTTTAATTTGTATTTTTATATTACTAGTTTATACCTAGTTGTACTTTAGTTCATTCCAGCACAACACATAGACAACATCAACTTCATTATGTGTAGTAGTGACTATACTCTACATGACCAAAATACTCTAGCTATATACTTGTCCAAACTTCCTACCACTACAGATATCAGTACTAGAACTCAACACACAACTCAGGATATAAATAACCATAATTTAAACCTAGAAGATGATTGATCACGTTGATCCTGATCTAAACCTCCATAATGTGACACCCAATCAAAACCTATTGGAAAGTAACTGCCTTTATTACACAGCATCACAAGCCAGCACTATCCTAAACAATGCTAAAAGTCTATCAGTACTTAACTACAACATCAGGTCCTTAAGCAAACACTTTGATGACCTCTTAGCACTCCTTGAATCACTAAAGACACCCTTCTCCTGCATTATTCTTACTGAGACCTGGCTTAAGCAGGACACAATAGATATCTACCCTCTACCACGATACACAACAATTCACAACTGCAGACCAAACCAAGTTGGGGGTGGTATTACAATCTATTACTCTAACCAATTATCTTGTCTTAGCACCACTTGCTTTAGTGATGAATATAGGGAATACATTATTGCTAATTTTACTGTAAAAAACCTTAAGACGCCTATAACAATCGGTGCCATTTACCGGATACCTCACACAAACATCCCAAATTTCAGTGAGAAATTAAAGTCACTAATAACAAACAGACAAATGAATAAGCACCACCTTCTCTTAGCTGGAGACTTCAACATCAACCTTGGCTTACTAGATGATCAGCCTGTAACTGACTTCATCAACAATATGAACAACACATTTCTCATACCAACAATAACTAAACCAACCAGGCTCACTGAGACAAGTGCAACCATAATAGACCACATATGGACCAATATACTAGCCCCCCTTAAATCAGGGATAATCACAGATAGCACTACAGACCACTACCCTACCTTTCCTCCTGACAAACATTAGTAAACCACCACTTGAATACAACAAAGTCTCATTTAGGACTCCATGACGAGGCCTCAGTAAGGAAGTTCACAGCTGACCTAGAGACTGTTGACTGGCCTACAGAATTCTCCAAGGCCAATGGTATTGATGACTGGACAGACATTATTCTTAACAAATTACTTAGACTATACAACAAACGTTGTCCTATAAAAACAAAACAATCACAAACAAACGGCTTGGTTGCCCATGGCTAACCAGCACCATTCTGAAATCCATTGACAAAGAAACACCAATATGAAAAGCAATATAGACAGGGCTTAATACACAAAGATATTCTTAAACACTATTCATCAGCTCTCACCAAAGTAATAAAGAAAGCCAAACAACTAACTACTCCAGTACATTCACAGACACTAGAGGAAGAATATAAAAAAGACCTGGAAAACACTCTCTCAGATTCTAGGGACCCACAAACTGAGAAAAACCAAGAATATTGTCCTAACTAAACCTAATGAAACACCACTACATCCCACTGACACAGCTAACAAGATAAACGACTTCTTCTCAACCATAGGATCTAATCTCGCCAGTAAAATCCCACATACCAATGCCCATGCCGGGGACTACCTAGATGGGAATTTCCCTAATTCCTTCTATCTTGCACCAACTGAGCCCATGGAAGTCACCGAGATTATAAAGCCACTTAAAAATAACTCGGGGAATCTGTCTCATGTCCCACCATTACTGTATAAGCGAGCGGCCCATGTCCTTTCGCATGCTATTTCATTACTTTTTAACAAGTCACTAGAGACTAGCACCTTCCCGAAACTACTCAAGATGGCAAGGGTTACACCAATACATAAAGGTGGTGACCCTACAGACTTAAACAACTATAGGCCAATATCTAACTTACCATTGCTATCCAAAATCTTTGAGAAACTCATGCACAGCAGACTGTATTCATTATAACGGCTCAAAACATACTCAACCCCTGCCAATTTGGATTCAGGAAAAATAAAAGCACTAATGATGCAATCATAAAAATGCTAGATCTGCTGTACACAGCACTGGAAAATAAGGAATATCCACTAGGAATTTTTATTGACCTAAAAAAAAGCTTTTGACACAGTAGACCACGACATCCTACTCCACAAACTTGATCATTATGGTATAAGAGGCCATGCACTTGCTTATTTCAAATCTTACATTACTAATAGGTATCAATATGTCACCATTAAAGACACAGCATCAGCAACACGGCCAATTGATACTGGAGTTCCGCAGGGAAGTGTCCTTGGTCCCCTGCTCTTCCTCATATACATCAATGACCTTCCAAACATATCCCAACACCTGAAACCCATTCTCTTTGCTGACGACACGACTTATGTCATCTCTCACCCTAATCTTGCCACCCTCAACACCATTGTGAATGAGGAGCTGATCAAAATATCGACTTGGATGACAGCCAATAAACTTACGCTTAACACTGACAAAACCTACTATATTATGTTTGGTAGCAGAGCAGGAGATGCACAAATTAACATTAAGATTGACAACACGCTAATTACCAGAAATAATAGGGGCAAATTCCTAGGCTTATACCTTGACAACAACCTGAATTTCAACACCCATATCCAGCATATAACCAAAAAAGTATCCAAGATACGATACTACGTGCCACAAAATGCCCTTCTCACACTATACCACTCACTTATTTATCCATACCTCACCTATGCTATTTGTGCTTGGGGATCAACTGCAGCAACACACCTAAAGCCAATAATAACCCAACAAAAAGCTGCAGTAAGAATAATCACTAAATCCCATCCCTGGCAACACACCCCCACTCTTCATAGACCTAAACTTACTCCCTGTTCAGTACATCCACACTTACTACTGTGCAATCTACATCTACAGGGCCTTAAACTCTAATATCAACCTTGACCTAAAACGCTTTCTTGATAGTTGTGACAGAACCCACAGGCATAACACCAGACACAAACATCTCTACGACATTCCCCGTGCCGACTAAACCTTTACAAAAATTCAATGTATGTCAAAGGCCCTAAAATCTGGAATACCCTACCTGAGAACTCTAGAACTGCAGACACATTCATCACCTTCAAAACTACCATTAGAAAACATCTTATCTCCCTGATACACCCCGTAAAACTAACTACACGAATACCACCTGGTGGTTCACACTTACACTCACTCACTCATTTGACCATAAACAGAAATATTAATCTCAATCTTAAAATAATGAATCCTGTGATACTCCAATACTGAAACTATGTACTGTGCCAAAACAAAAGCATTCACATTGCTAAACTCACAAACTAGTATTTAGTCACTTAGCCATAATACCAACTTACCTCATAATTTGTAATATTTTACAATTAAGAATAAAACTAAGTCTGCCCGAAATGCCTAGCCATGCTAAGCGTTCTAGTGGTACACTCTGTAATCACTATTTTACAACATGTAAACCACACAATAACCAAATTTCTGTAAAATCAACATTGTAATTCTTATAGAGAATAAACTTTGAATTTGAACTTTGAATTTGAAAGTGAGTACACAACGGGCAATGTGAGGGAATGACCGCTAGCCAGTCCATGAAGGGGGAGCTCTTGTGCCTATCAAGTCGGTCGGCCGGGGAGTGAGAGCGAATGGGCCCAGCCTTCCACTGAACTGGGTGAGCCTACAGAGAGCAGCACTTAAATGCTGCGGAATATGAACTAGTCAGAGCAGACGGCTTTGGCTGTCTGTTCTGACAGTACAGGCTGTCTACAGATGTTCCAGAACGCGGGCTACATACTATCCTCCCGGTGTTCCAGAACGCGGGTTATATACTATCCTCATGGTGTTCCAGAACGCACGGCTGCTTATTATCACGGGAAAGTGCCACAGTTTTGTTCACTCCCCACTTACCTGAAGTCCCAGAACTCGGGCTGCCTTGAACTCAGCTTAACGTGGCGCTGACCGTAAAAGTTACCTCTTGTGTTACCAATCCAAACATCGTATCCCTCGTCTGCTAATATGAAGGCTGAGAGAGAGAGAGAGAGAAAAAAAAAAACAGATGTTAACTGACATGTCAGTGTGTTAACGCACTGGCCTGTGAGTTTTAGGAATCACCTGCCAATGGTTCAAAATTAAACACATGCGGTACAATGCGATCCTTTATTTAGTACGTTTCGCCCACACTGATAAAGTCCACTGTGTGGGCGAAACGGAGTCAATAAATGATCGCATTATACTGCGTCTGTGTCAAATTTTCCATTGCAATCGTCTCATTACAATTTCGTGAGTCATTAACTGATATAGCTGACAATAACCGATAATACATTTTTAACCACTAAACGTCTGTGTCAAGCCACAAGCGACTCTTTCTTTACCTCTCCATCCTTATTCTCTTGTAATTCCCCTTCAGAGGACTTCAAGCCCTACTGGAACAAAAGCTCTTAAGCTCCTGTTACTGTGTAACTCGTGGCAGGAAACTTCATGAAATCCTCAACGAATACTAACGTTTCAGTCCTATAGATCTCGCAGCCTCGGTAGTGGCAGGAATAGTTAATGAATAAAGACACGAATACAGTATAATCCAATCCTTTATTGACAACGTTTCGCCCACAAAGTGGGCTTTATCACGTCACAATGGGCGTGTATTTAGGGTGCGTAGTGACGTGAAGAGTCAGGTGAGGTAATGTATGCTTACTTCTTACATAGATTAATAACAGGTTGGACGAATACATATGGCTGAGAGATGAGGTTGGATTCGAGGTTCTAAGAACAAGCAAGTTGAAGAATAAGATGATGGGTCGCAGCACGGAGAAGACCCGGGCCAGGAACCCCCGTCCTGGCGAGCCTAACTGAACCTGAAGAATGAGACATTTGGGTATATTTACTGTAAAAGCGTTACGCCAGCCAGTAGCTTCATCAGTCCAATACAGAGAAGAGCTGTGGAAGATGAGGAGATTAAGGTAATCAGTCCCTCAGCCTGGAGATGTGTTCAGTCTTCTGCTGTTTTCCTCTGTGCTATGACCTGTCGCTATGTGAGATAGCGATTAACAAGTTTCCTGGCAAGAGTCTCAGTTATTGTAGAAGCCGTTGTTTTGACTGAAGTTGCCTGATGTGCTGATTAGTGAAGATAGCAGAATCCTGCACTTCGTAGTGTCTTCTTCTCTAACGATGAGTCGAGCGCTCTTATAACTGATCAAAAGGTTGAGGGAGTTGTTGGTCATTCAGCACAAGATGTGATGGAGTCTTGATCTTCCGTCTGCTGAGCACCAGATAAACGCCCTTCCTATCTGTATTTACCTAACTTAACTTGTCAGCAAGTACCCAACTGCTCTATAATTTAACGATTTCTGTGTCCTTGCTAAAATTTTGTCATTATATTCACTGTCTTCTAAATCTCTGGAAATTGTCTCATATCCTCTGAGGTGAGGATATTAACTAGTGGTTCAGTCAGTGTTTATAATCACTTGTGCAGGATCCATCTTGACGCTTTTCCAGTGTTTTTCATACATTTGATTCACTAAGAAAACTTCGTCTCCTGTCGTGCATATGGCGTTCACTGCCCATTGGTGGACCCTTTGTCTCTGACTCTCTGACTTTCTATTTTTTTTTCTGTTCCTCATAACTTTTTCGTTTTTCGTCAGCTCTTCACTTTTATTCAATCATTTTTTCACTTTCATTTTCCTTCTGATGTAGCCGAGAAGCACCTCGGATCAAACTTTGCTTCTGATGTCATTTTCAAACTGCTGCGAAGCTTCTCTTCCTATCCTTGCATATTCGTTTCTGGCTCTTCTATTCGCCTCTTCGTCTTTTTCTGTCCATTTCTTTCTATAGTTTTTCACGTTTCTTGTACTTCTCTTTTTTTTCTGTTCTCTGCATGTTGTGTGTGTGGGAGGGAGGGTTAAGAGGCACGTAAATTCTCCCGTCTTCTAATAACATGTTCATTTTTCCACTATAATCTACATTGTTCCTAATTACTATCGCATTTGCTTTGTCTGTTTCGTAAGATAAAGTCCAGGATCTTTCCTTAATTCATGGTATAACTTAACAAATCTTTGATGACAATTGTGTTTATAGGTGTGAGCACAACTCAGCACAGCTCAAACCTGTACAACACAATTGTCTTTTATGTGCGGGTTATTTGTGTATCGTTCCAGTCACGGTATTGTGACTTTTTGTTATTTATTTGTCATCAAAGATTTGTTAAGTTATACCATGAATTAAGGAAAGATCCTGGACTTTATCTTACGAAACAGACAAAGCAAATGCGATAGTAATTAGGAACAATGTAGATTATAGTGGAAAAATGAACTGGGAAAGTGAGTAGGTGAAGCCTGGGTTACGGTGGTGCCGAAGGTGGAATAAGAGAAAGGTGAGGGGAAGGGGAGAGAAAAGGAATTGTTTGTGAGCAGAATCTCAAGTATGTACTTAAAGACATAAAAATGTTCCCTGTTCACTCCACTCACAACCCCCCCCCCTCTAAACCAGTAACAATGTTCTCACATGTCCACTCACAACCCCCCTCCCCCTCTAAACCAGTAACAATGTTCTCACATGTCCACTCACAACCCCCCCCTCTAAACCAGTAACAATGTTCTCACATGTCCACTCACAAACCCCCCCCCCTCTAAACCATTAACAATGTTCTCACATGTCCACTCACAACCCCCCCCCTCTAAACCAGTAACAATGTTCTCACATGTCCACTCACAACCCCCCTCCCCCCTCTAAACCAGTAACAATGTTCTCACATGTCCACTCACAACCCCCTCCCCCCTCTAAACCAGTAACAATGTTCTTTACATGTCCACTCACAACCCCCCCCTCTAAACCAGTAACAATGTTCTCACATGTCCACTCACAACCCCCCTCCCCCCTCTAAACCAGTAACAATGTTCTCACATGTCCACTCACAACCCCCCCCCTCTAACCAGTAACAATGTTCTCACATGTCCACTCACACAACCCTCCCCCCCCTAAACCAGTAACAATGTTCTCACATGTTCACTCACAACCCTCCCCCTCTAAACCAGTAACAATGTTCTCACTATCCACTCACAACCACCCTCCCCCCTCTAAACCAGTAACAATGTTCTCACATGTTCACTCACAACCCCCCTCCCCCCCCCTCTAAACCAGTAACAATGTTCTCACATGTTCACTCACAACCCCCCTCCCCCCTCTAAAACCATTAACAATGTTCTCACATGTCCACTCACAACCCCCCTCCCCCCTCTAAAACCAGTAACAATGTTCTCACATGTCCACTCACAACCCCCCTCCCCCTCTAAACCAGTAACACTGTTCTCACATGTTCACTCACAACCCCCCTCCCCCCCTCTAAACCAGTAAAATGTTTTCACATGTCCACTCACAACCCCCGTCCCCCCTCTAAACCAGTAACAATGTTTCTCACAAGTCCACTCACAACCCCCCTCCCCCCCCTAAACCAGTAATAATGTTCTCACATGTTCACTCACAACCCCCCCTCCCCCCTCTAAACCATAACAAATGTTCTCACATGTTCACTCACAACCCCCCTCCCCCCTCTAAACCAGTAACAATGTTCTCACATGTCCACTCACAACCCTCCCCCCTCTAAACCAGTAACAATGTTCTCACATGTTCACTCACAAACCCCCCTCCCCCCTCTAAACCAGTAACAATGTCTCACATGTCCACTCACAACCCTCCCCTCTAAACCAATAACAATGTTCTCACATGTTCACTCACAACCCTCCCCCCTCTAAACCAGTAACAATGTTCTCACATGTTCACTCACAACCCTCCCCCCTCTAAAAACCCGTAACAATGTTTCTCACATGTTCACATCACAACCCCCCTCTAAACCAGTAACAATGTTCTCACATGTTCACTCACAACCCTCCCCCCTCTAAAACCAGTAACAATGTTCTCACATGTTCACTCACAACCCCCCCCCTCTAAACCAGTAACAATGTTCTCACATGTTCACTCACAACCCCCCCCCTCTAAACCAGTAACAATGTTCTCACATTTCACTCACAACCCTCCCCCCTTAAACCAGTAACAATGTTCTCACATGTTCACTCACAACCCTCCCCCCTCTAAACCAGTAACAATGTTCTCACAAGTCCACTCACAACCCCCCTCCCCCCTCTAAACCAGTAACAATGTTCTCACATGTTCACTCACAACCCCCCTCCCCCCTCTAAACCACCAACAATGTTCTCACATGTTCACTCACAACCCCCCTCCCCCCTCTAAACCACCAACAATGTTCTCACAAAGTCCACTCACAACCACCCTCCCCCTCTAAACCAGTAACAATGTTCTCACATGTCCAAATCACAACCCTCCCCCCTCTAAACCAATAACAATGTTCTCACATGTTCACTCACAACCCCCCTCCCCCCTCTAAACCACCAACAATGTTCTCACATGTCCACTCACAACCACCCTCCCCCTCTAAACCAGTAACAATGTTCTCACATGTTCACTCACAAACCCTCGCCCCTCTAAAACCAGTAACAATGTTCTCACATGTTCACTCACAACCCTCCCCCCTCTAAACCAGTAACAATGTTCTCACCATGTTCACTCACAACCCTCGCCCCTCTAAACCACCAACAATGTTCTCACATGTCCACTCACAACCACCCTCCCCCCCTCTAAACCAGTAACAATGTTCTCCACATGTTCACTCAAACCCTCGCCCCTCTAAACCAGTAACAATGTTCTCACATGTCCACTCACAACCACCCTCCCCCCTCTAAACCAGTAATAATGTTCTCACATGTTCACTCACAACCCTCGCCCCTCTAAACCAGTAACAATGTTCTCACATGTTCACTCACAACCCTCCCCCCTCTAAAACCAGTAACAATGTTCTCACATGTTCACTCACAAACCCTCCCCCCTCTAAACCAGTAACAATGTTCTCACATGTTCACTC